CCTTCAAAGTTGGTGGCCTAACTTTTTAGGGCCGTGGCCTAGAATTCCAAAATTTGTACCCCCTGAAAACTAAAACCGAGACTGTCAGAATGGTTTAAAAACCAAGTTTCTAGCTCAATTTTGAAGCGAGTTATGCGCCTTTAAAGTTAGTGGGGAGACGCAGACAGCGAGACAGTCTAGCTTCTCTGTGACTCTCATTCTCTCTTCTAAGGGCATAACTTGCTTCAAAATTGACCTAGAAACTTGGTTCTTTGACCATTCTGACGGTCTTGAGCCTAGCTTTCAGATGGATCCAGTTTTGGAATCCTAGGCCACCGCCTTGAAAAGCTAGGCCACCAACTTCGAAGATGCATAACTCGCTTCAAAATCGGCCTAAAGACTTCGTATTTACATCATTTTGACCGTCTTAAGGCTAGCTTTCAAAGGAAACTGAATTTGGAATCCTAGGCCACGGCAATGAAAAGTTAGGCCACCAACTTCAAAGGAACATAACTCGATTCAAAACTGCGCTAGAAACTTCGTTTTTGAACCATTCTGACTGTTCTTATCGCAGCTTTCAAAAAAAAACTTAATTTGAGATTCTAGGCCGCGGTCTCGAAAAGTTAGGCCGCCAGATTTGCTCGGTTCGAAATAGAGCTTTTTGGCTGGTTTTTTCACCAGTTTTTTATGGAAATTTCAAGAGCTTTGCAGTTAACATTCTTTGAATCTGAAATTTTTTTTGTACAAAATGCCTAAATTTGGATTTCTAGGCCACGACAAGAAAAAATTAGGCCACCAAACAAAAAAAATTTCCAGATCCTGAACATCGGCAATCTGGGTCTCACCAACCTCCAAAACATGTCCCTGGAAACCCTCTGTGAACTAACCGACATAAACCTGGTCAGTAATCCCCTGAGTGACAAGGAATGGATTCCAGAGGAGGTGTTCGTGAATCTGAATCTTCAACGTTTTCGATTGGGCATCCCGAATTCGATTACCGCCGTGCCGGACACTTTGGTGGCCTTTATGAGAATTTCCTCACAGATTTCGTTTTCTGTTCCCGCCTCTTTGGCTACCCTCGATTTTTACAGACGAAAGATGGATTGTGAATTTGGTAAGGGGGTGAGAAATGCTAGGGGATATCCCTGGGAAAAATAACGGAAATATGAAAGCTAGCCTTAAGACGGTCAAAATGATGTAAAAACGAAGTCTTTAGGCCGATTTTGAAGCGAGTTATGCACAATTTTATTCGGTGGCCTAACTTATCGAGGCCGCGGCCTAGAATTACAAATCTAGTTTCATCTGAAAGATAGGCCCAAGACGGTCGGAATGGTCAAAAAACCAAGTTTCTAGCTCTATTTTAAAACGAGTTATGCCCTGAGGAGAGAGAATGAGAGACACAGAGAAACTAGACTGTCTCGCTGTCTGCGTCTCACCCATAACTTTAAAGGCGCGTAACTCGCTTCCAAATTGAGCTAGAAACTTGATTTTTGAACCATTCTGGTCGTCTCGGTCCTAGCTTCTAGTGTGCACAAATTTTGGATTTCTAGGCCACGGCCCTGAAAAGTTAGGCCACCAACTTCAAAAGCACGTTACTCGAGTAAAAATTGATCGTTCGAGCTGGCTTTTGGACCATTTTGTAAGAAAATTTGTGAGCTATTTGGTGATATAAAAGAGTGTTTGCAAGTTCAAGGTGGGTACCCTTTTATCAGGGGGAATCTGACGAATTTTCAGCCATAAAATTGGCGAGTATCGGTTAAAAATGTGTAATTTTGACCTAGAAATTCACTATTTCCTACGAAAATCACGAATTTCGCTCGAAATTTGTTAGTCTTGGTTCAAAAAAGACAGTTTTAGCCCTAAAACTGCAAAATTTCGAGCTTTTCTGAATTGTCGTCAATTCAGATGCCCGGTACGCAAACACCGAATTTTTGGATGAAGAGATTTACCTGAAAATTCTCTTCAAAATGGTTCAAAAACCAACGCAAAACCTCTATTTTTAAGCAAGTTATGCGCTTCTTAAATTGGTGGCCTAATTTTTCGAGGCTGTGGCCTAGAAATCCAAAATTGGATCCATCTGAAAGCTAAGATCAAGACGGTCAAAATGGTCAAAAAACCAAGTTTCTAGCTTTATTTTAAAGCGAGTTATGCCCTAAGGAGAGAGAATGAGAGACGCAGAGAAGCTAGACTGTCTCGCTGTCTGCGTCTCACCCATAACTTTAAAGGCGCATGTCTCGCTTCCAAATTGATCTAGAAACTTGGTTCTTAAACCATTCGGACCGTCTCGGGTCTAGCTTCCAAGGGTACAATATTTGGATTTCTAGGCCACGGCCCTGAAAAGTTAGGCCACCAACTTCGAAAGCACGTAACTTGAGTAAAAATTGACCGTTCGAGCTGGTTTTCGGACCATTTGGTAAGAAAATTTGTGAGCTCTTTTGTGTTATGAAAAAGTTGCCAGACTTGAATTTTTGGGAAGCGATTTTGCCTATTTTATTCTGAGCAATCCCGGATTCTCGGTCATTTATGTCAGATTTTGGGATTTTCGAAGTAAAACCCACCCCTAACTTCCTGAAATCCTCCAAAAACAGTCGATCATTCTCCACAAAATTCCTCCGCCCTCTTACATCCAGTGCCATTGAATTTCCAGGGTTAGGGATCACTGGCATCGCATCCAAAATGGGCGGAGTCGAGGGACTGAAAAATTGGTTGCAATTGCGCTCTATTGGACAGATCTGGCGGATTTTTGAAAAAAGAAATTCAAACTCCCGCCAGAGCAGTCCAATGGAGCGCACTTACCCCAAACTACTCTGACACGTCAGTACCACCTCGTTGAACTCCGGGTCTTTTTGGGGGTTTTTTTGAAGTTTTTCCGGGGTTTTTTTCCGGATTTTTTCCGACATTTTCTCGACGATACATAGACTACAAAAACTACAAAAACTACAAATTTTCCAGACAAAATCGCCACGGCCACCAAATATGGCTACCAGATGGGAAACAAAAGTTGTGAGGACTACGTGAACACTGCAGTCGAAAATATTCGCGTGAGTCAGATTTTTGGTAGCCTAGAAATCCCGAAAAGTTAGGCCACGGCCGCGATCGCAGCGCGTTGCGGTCGCGTCAACGGTGGCCTAGGTTGTCGGGACATGGGGGGAAAGGCCTGAAGAAAAGAGGCCACCGATACAAGCGAGCTGCAAAAAATCCCAAAGGTTTTTTGGTGGCCTAGGAGTCGCAAAAGTTAGGCCACGGCCACAGCCGCGACGCGACCGCAACGCGCTAAGGTCATGACGCGTTGCGGTCGCGTCGCGGTTCCGGTGTTCTCGAAGTAACTGCGGCCGTGGCCTAGTTTTTCGGAGACGGGAAAAGTTAGGCCACGGTCGCAACGCGGCCTCTGCAGGTGGCCTAGGTTTTCGGGGAGGGAGAAGTTAGGCCGCGGTCGCGACGCGGCCGCAACGCGTTAAGGTCATGTCGCGTTGCGGTCGCGTTGCGGTCGCGTCGCGGTTCCGGTGTTTTCAAAGCAACTGCGGTCGTGGCCTAGTTTTTCGGTGACGGGAAAAGTTAGGCCACCGATAAAAGGAAACCCCAATTATCGATTTTTTGCAGGCAATGGAGATGCTGAAAATGGAAAACACTTGCACATGATTTTTGTGGCTCCGCCCCTATTTTGTGATTCAAAAAAAAAATCAATAAAACTTGTTAATTAAATTTTTTTATGTATTTATTTCGAAAATTCAAAAAAATCAGTCATCCCTATGCCTGTCCACGACGACCCGAGTGTCAGCGGGACTAAAAAATTGCGGGAATTTGAAAAATGAGTTGAAAAAATTGGGAAGTTGAGAGAAGAGAGATTGCAGTTGGGAGAGGAAGTTGAACGGGTCCAGTGGGACTGAAAAATTTGGGGTTGGGGACTACAAAAACTACAAAAACTACAAATTACAAACTCACACGACAACATTCCATCCCGTTGATATTCTCGTAAGACTTCCTTCGACTCGCGAGACATTTTTGCGGTTTTCAAGAATTTTTCCAGTTCTTCTGAAATTTTTTCCAGAATGATGACTAAAAATCTCTTAAAATTCCCTACAAAATGGTCCAAAAACCAGCTCAAAACGTCAATTTTGAAGCTAGTTAAGTTGATGGCCTAACTTTTTCAAGCCGTGGCCTAGAATTCCAATTTCAAACATTCATTAAAAGCTGGAATCAAGGCGGTAAGAATGGTCCAAGAACGAAGTTTCTAGTTCGTTTTCGAAAGGAGTTATGCACCTTTGAAGTTGGTGGCCTAAGTTTTCGTGGCCGTGGCCTAGGATCCCAAATTCAAATTTTGGTTCAAACCTGGGATCAAGGCGGTCAGAATGGTTCAAAAACCACCTCTCTAGCTCAATGTTAAAGCGAGTTATGCGCTTTTGAAGTTGTAGGTGAGACGCAGACAGCGAGACAGTCTAGCTTCTCTGCGTCTCTCACTCTCGCTTTTAGGGGCATAACTTGCTTCAAAATTGAGCTAGAAACTTCGTTTTTGGACCAATCTGGCTTTCCTGATCCCAGATTTCAGAGAAAGGTATAAAATTTGGAATCCTAGGCCACGGCCTTGTAAAGTTAGGCCAACCAATTTGGTCGTCTTGAGCCTTGCTTTCAGTGGGTTGGAATACTAGGCCTTGAAAAGTTCGGCCACGAAAAATTAGGCCACCAAAATACCAATTACCTTCATTCTCCACCATCACTTTCGCTGAAATAACAGCCACCAAAATCAAAAATTGAAGGAAAATTAGACAAGAATTCATTATTTTTTCAATAAAAAGCTCATTTTCTGCGAGTTTTTATAGTGAACAGGCCCCTATTGTCTGGGATTATTTATTTGTTTTTTCTTGTTTGTTTTTGAAAATTTCAGCTTTGTTTTTTGACTGAAAAACAAATGATTGTTTTCGTCAAAGTTGCGATCACCTATCACTTGTTGATCTTCCATTTCTCCCCGCCGCCTCCCACCGCCTTCCCCTTTATAAACGCCCTCTTCCCCTTTCTCCGCTTGCGCCGCGATGGCCGAGTGGTTAGCGCGTCTGCCTCTCGTGCCGACGCCCACGGGTTCGATTCCCCTCGGGGGCAATGATGTTATACTCAAATCTGTCAGTCCTCAGACAATCCCTGACGATAACACGGTTCTTCCGGAGTGCTGAGCAGCCCTTTTTTCGTTTCTTTTTTTTTTCTTTTTTTTTTGGTTTTTTTTTCTTCAGGACAGTCAGAACAGAATCAAAAGATCCATTGCAAATGGGCTGTGTACTCTTTGAAAATTCTTTGAAAATCGCATCGGATTACAGACGGATTATAACTGAACTGAATGAGGGATCGTGGGTGTCATCGAACTTTTTTGTTTCAAACCAAAATTTTTTTTTGCCTCTAGTTTCATTTTAACCTCCCCAAACATGTCCAAATGGTTTATTGTTTCTTGTTTTCTACTCTGCGCAATTTCCTATTCCTCCTACTACCTATTCACCTCGAATTCATGGATAAAAACTGTCAAAACTCATACATACACAAGATTTTATGAGTTGATTCGAGAAAATACAAAGTCGAAATTGGAAAGTTTACAAGAAGAAGCGAAGAAGGCAGGGAAACCGTTTATACCACCATTCATCAATTTTGATAGGGAGTATGCGGTGAGTTTAGGTGGATTTTTAAACTTTGAGCTGTCTAAAATGGTCTAAAACCTCCTAAAATAGGCCGAGAAAGGTCAGAATCGACAGATTGCTCAGAATATATTTTTTTTTTCATTTTTTTTGTGATTTTTTGTTTGAAAAAACTGATTCAAAGAGGCTCCAGGACATTTCGAAACCGGTCATTTCGAAATTGGCGATTTTAATTGATTTTCAGGTAAATCTGAGCAAAACAAAAAGTCAACTTTTTTTCTGAAAATTATTGAAGTTTTATTTTGCTCAGATTTGCAGAAAAATCAATTAAAACGGTTTCGAAATGTCCCGGAGCCTTCAAATAGGCCAAAAAATGGTTAAAATTGGCCAAACAGGACGGATTGCTCAAAATATTTTTTTATTGAAATGAAAAATAAACCAGTAACTTTAAAAATTTCAGATAGCCCCAAAATACAATTTATCAATATGCCGTATCAAAAAATCAATGTCGACTCTAATGTCCGGTGTGGCTTGTGTTCTCTACGATACCGGAAAGTTTATGAGGAATAATCGGAGTATTTTGGAAGTCTGGAGCCGGAGGTAAGCCCTGAAGTTGGTAAAAAAACCAGCTCGAAAGCTCAATTTTGAAGCGAGTTATGTATCTTTGAAGTTTGGTGGCCGAACTTTTCGTGGCCGTGGCCTAGGATTCAGAATTCGGTACGATTGGAAAGCTAGGCTCAAGACAGTTAGAACGGTTCAAAAACGAAGTTTCTAGTTCAATTTTGAAACGAGTTATGCGCCTTTGAAGTTGGAGGTGAGAGAGTGAGAGGC